TCTCAGTGGGTCTTGGGCAGAATGAATGGTCATTCTTGTTCAAATACACAGAACAACTGCTGAACCTGGTCAACATCCACCTGCGCTGAGCATGCTCATTGTATCGACGTAACCGGACAACCAAGGGGTCCGGGCTGCCTGTCACCACTTGAGCCAATTTAAGAGACAGGGTTGAGTCATGTATGAGTGTTTATTCCAATACTGCCAGCAGCATGGGAGAGCAGCAGGCCACCCACAAAAATCTGCTCTGACCCCCCTTGCCAGTTGGCTGGTTATACACACACGAGGGAGAAGATAGCTACGTGCAGCTGTGAGCTATAAGTGTAACATGGACAGGGGAGGGTAGAGTCTGCAGCCCCACCTTCAGGAGCTCAAAGTCTGATACCAAGGTGGCTAATCTTCTGTGATGTTACAAACAGCTTGATCCTGGGACCTGAGAGTGGTCAGCGTTCCTGAGAAAAACTCTCGGAGGGGGCAGGGTCCAGGTAATAACTGGAACGGTGAGCAGAGGGGTTTTCCTGGGTCATGTCTCTCGACACCAAAGCATGAGCTACCGGACCAGAAGGTTTAAGCACAGTGTGGGGAATTTATTACAAGCAGGTTTAGACTCCCCGAGAGGGGAGGGGGACCCACTAATGGGCTGCCCGTGAAAGCCTTGTATATATTTGCTACAAGCCTGCTCTGTCTACCTGTGTCGTCACCTGATTGATTCCCTCAATTGTTTTTGCCCAGCAAAGGACTTACGTGTTCTTTCCCTTCCTCTGTCCCCGTGCTGGACTTTCTCTGTTTCTATGCATTCGTACACCTTGTTTACTGCAGGCCCTCCCTTGGCTTCCCATGCCTCCCGCTTTGAGTCCAGAAACATTTTATTATTTCTGCTTGGTTGATTCCCGTGCTCAGACTGCCGGGTCTGCCCCTGCCTGTGTTCCACCTGCCTTTGTTTCCCACTGGACCCCTGTCCTATCTGCCTGCGTTTCAAGTTAACCCTCTCACAGGCACAGCAACCAAATCAAAGCCTGTCCTGTCCTTGGTCTGTTCTCAAAGTGTATTTCTTTTCTGAGTAATGGACCCATCGAGGCATCTTATCTTTTTACAGCCTTGTTTCATCCTCCAGTTTCTCAGGGTCTGTAAGAAAACTTCTCATCTGTAGTTAGTGAGGTGGATAATTACTAAACAGCTGTGGCTCTAGTCTCAGGACACGTCCTTCCACACTCTCACTTTCATCATCGTATCCAGCCGTGACCACCCATGAAATACTTACTGCCTCTTACCAGATGCTCCTGTCTTCCCAGGAAAAGCCACCAGGCAGCTTTCAGAAGCATTTACCTCTCTGCTTACTCATACCTTACCTTCACAGTTGAATCTTAAATAGATGGTGCATAACTTTCTATTTACCGATCTGCTTACTCCCTCCTTATCTTCATGGTTGAATTTAAAATAAGGTGATTCATAACTTTTCTGTAATTGCTTTGCATTGCTTTGCATTTAGCATCATCACACACATATTTTCCATGTCAGCAGTCATAGTTTCCTAGTGACCCGTAGAGTTTTGTCCAATGGTTGTACTGTATTTAATCCGTGAGTTACTTAACTATTTAGTTCATTGTCAGTCTTTACAATTTGCATACTTGTTTTTATACCAGTAGGATAAACTTTAGGAATTGTTGGGTAAAAATCCAATTTCCCCCACTCCTGTTTTCTGTTCATGGACATGACATTTTGCAGAGTAACATACATACTGAAAAGTGCATAAGATTCTACAGCTTAATAAGCTTTCACAAAGTGAACACACCTGGATGACCCACCAGGTCAGGAATCGGAATATCACCAGAAACCAGAAGCCGCTTCTCATCTCCCTTCTAGATCCTATCCTTCCGAAGGGCCCCTACTCCATGACTTCTCAGCTGGAGACTAGCTTTGCCTGGTTTTGAACTTTATGTGAACGGAATCATACACTGTGTATCCTTACTTCAGGCTTCTCCTTGGTCCATGTCTTTCACATATTTGATAGTGCAATGGAAAAGTTTCATTGCCTTCTGTATTCTTGGCCTCCATGTAATATGACACGATGGACCATCCCCCAGTCTTGAATTTTGTCTCCTTTCTCTTCTGTGATAGTCATCTCCTGGCCTTCCTCGTATCTTCCCGCGGCTCCTTCCCCCATTCCAGAGCCTCCCCATCACCCAACCTTAAATCACTGTGCATTCGAGCTCCAGCCCAAGGCCATTTCAGCCAGATACATGGCTTTGTTACCATCTGTGTGCCTGGGTCATAAATGCGTATTTCTACCACAGACAGCTTTTCTGAGATTCAGATATCCAACTTGATCTCATTATTTGTATATTTCAAAACTCAACAACCCCCAACGGAACAATTCCTCTGCTCCAGTTGCCCCAGACCTGGCACTGTTCTGGTGTTTCCTGTCTCAGAGAAAAACACCACCAGCCACAGGGTTGCCAACATAGAAACCCAGGACTCATCCTGATGCTTCTCTCTCATCATACCCGGCAGCCACTACGTGCTGACAGCTTCTCCTCCCAAATAGCTCTGGTAAATGGCTCCCTTCTCACCATCATCGCTGCCAGCATTCAAATCAAGCTAAACTTGGATCATCTCTTGCTAAGACTGTTGCAATAGTCACCCCAAACTGATTTCCAAACAGATGGATACTTTGCTTAAGACTCTTCACCGGTTTACATGTTAGACTGAAGAAGTTACTGACATCAGCACTTTATCAGACTGTCTGCTGATCTAGCTCCCTTACTACTCTTTGGGTCTCTCTCTTTTCCTTATTCAGAAATTGCTCCACACAGTCCTTAACAGGTCAGAAACCGGGTTGAAATTTGGGCAATTATGTCTAACTAGAGGCCCGATGCATGAAATTCGTGCAAGAGTAGGCCTTCCTTCCCCCGGCTGCCGACACCAGCTTCCCTCTGGCACCTGGGATCCGGGATTTGCTCTGGCCCCGGCTTCATCCTGAATGATGTCTGGTCTAATTAGCATATTACCCTTTATTATTATAGATTAGTTATCTGGAAGATAAAAGTTAAAAACAAAATATGGGTGCCATTTGGAGTACATTGTTCAGAAAGCAACAGGAGAAAAGAATAATTGTCCCCAAGGAATTCCAAGCTGCTTAAGAGGCCAATTAGCCTAATGACTTCAGGCTTCAGACTCCCACAAACCCCGAGTTTTGATCTTGACTCCGCCACTTTTAAAGCCTGCATAACTTTTGGTGAGTCATAGTACTTCTGAGCCAGAATTCAATACCTTTTCCTTCACAGGGATTACATTATATATCTCTGCTGTTTGGCACAATTGTCAGCACATAGTCAAGCGTTAAACAAACGGTAGGCATGTTACTATTAGGAAGAAAATAAGGCTATAATATTATTCCCATAGATCAGGGAGGAGTCACCCAGGCTTAATTAATGCCCAAGATAATGAGGATCCTGGGGGCAGGGACGAGACCGTATTGTCCCGAGAGCTTTCTGGACTCTGCTCTCCCTGGCACCAAGGAGACATTTATTTCCAGGTAACCAGGAACTCTGGGCAACCTAAGCAAAAGTCTTATTTTTTTATTCAAATGACGCTCTCCTCCAGCCAGTTGGTTTACTTTTCTCAGGACAAACACCTAACATTGGGTTTCTCCTTATCTTTGTAGGTGGAATTTTGGGAACCTCTGTGAGATAAGAAACCAGTATTTTCTACGTGACTAAGTGAATGTTATCCAGACTAGACAGATGCAACCATTTGTGTGGGGCCTGCTTTTACTGGCTACCGCCTGTGGTGTTGATCTCTGTCCTCCAAAGATACATATACACAAACAATTGGAACCCAAATTAAAAAAAAAATACTGACAAGGATAAAAGACCAATGAGTGTATTGATTTAATTATTTAAGCATTTAAATTTCCTTTGCAAAAAAGATACACGATTGAGTGAAAAGAAACTAGATTGAAATCAAAATGACATCATTCTGGCTGGGCCTCCAGCGCTGATTATCTGTGTAATCTTGAAGTCATTTGTTTTCCCGGGTCCTCAAATTCTTCATATGCAACGAGAGAATTAGAATGTATTATCTCATCACAATTCTGAGTTTATATGCAGAAAATATGAAAGAAAAATACTTATATATTTATGAGTGTGTGTATATGTATGTTTATATGCGCATCTGCATATCCACATTCACATCTATATATGCATCGTAGTTTCTTAAGAGAAAGCAAATTATAGACGAGGAGGCTGGAATAGGTGATAGGTAAGGTCCAGTCCTATGCTGACATCATCTATTTCTGGCATTAAAATGCCCATATCTGCCTTCCCCCATCCAAGGCGACTAAGCGGCGGGAATTTGTTAGAAATGCACATTCTCAGGCCCCCCAGACTCCTGTGGGGGAGAGGCTGTGTTGTAACCAGCCCTCTGTATCAGGTGTGAGAACCACTGCCTCCCAATACTCCCAGGGAAGAACTCTAGGCTAGAGTCATAGGCAGAAGTGAAGAGCCAGGAATTCAAGACGAAAAAACAGAACAGTCCACAGAGAACTGGGTCAGAGGTGGTAGGCACTGCGTTTGGGGAGACAGAGCAGTGTGGGCCCAGGTTAATGTTACCAGGGAACTGGTGTGGTTGTGAGAATTCAGAGCGGAAGCCCAGGCAGGTAGAAAGCAGTAGCCACACGCTCCCGTGTTAAATCATTGTCCTCCTGCTGTCATTTCTGCTTCTGCGCTGAGAACTGCTGGTTTCAGGACCTTTCTCCTGCGGTGGATCCCACAGGAGGGTCATCCCCTCTGTTACAGCTGCAGCAACCCCTGACCCCGGCTATCTATCTATCTATCTATCTATCTATCATCTATCTATCTATTTATTTTCTGGTTATTGATTGTAAAAACCCGAGACAGGGCTAGTTAAGGCTTGTCAGGCTGAGCCTGCATGTTTTCTCCAGGATTCTCCTGATCCCAGTTTTCCTTTTCTCTTCACTGGCAGTTAAGGAGGCTGTGAATCCTCAGGGGACGGAAGATGATGCCTGCTGCTTCGCTGGGCTAGAGGTGAACTTGGCTGGACAAAGCTGCCGGGGTGAGAATGAGCCGGTGGAAGCGACAAGGCAGGAACTCGGCCTTGATGGTCTTCAGGAGGCTTATGGAGGCCACGTTGTCATCGAGGACGTTGCCCTGCGCGGGGAAGCCCCGGCTGTGCAGCTTCCAGGCCAGGGTTAAGGCCACCAGCCGGCTGTACCCTTTCCTGCGATGCTCCGGCAGGGTGTAGCCGTGGCACATGGTGGCAAACTGGTCTGTGATAGACCAAGAGACCGGGCTCCCCTTCTCATCGCGGACACACACGCTGGGGAAGCAGGAGATGAGGTTGGCGATGTACCGGAGACACTGCTTATTGCCGCCCCGCGACCAGGTCCGGTTGAGCAGATCAGCATCCGCTACACTCAGGTAGGTGAGTCGAGGGGGAGAAGTCCTTCTAGAAGAAAAGGACAGGAGAAGAGGTGGGAACTCAGGGTGACTTCCAACAACTTCTCCTCTTTGTAGACTGAGTTAAAGGGAGACGCCATCCCAGAGATAGGGCCTAACAAATACGAAGACATTGTCAATGAGTTAGATTCCACCTCTCCCCCATTCACAAACCTCTTGCAGAATTTCATTTCTGATAGGACAAAATACTCATTATTTCCAATTGATGTCTTTCCTTCTAATTTTATGCCCTGAAGCCTTGAAAAGACCTGATTCTTGGGCCCCTAATCTTTTGGTTTATAAAAAAGCCCAACTGGTGTGGCCCAGTGGTTGAGTGTCTCGACCTATGAACTAGGTCACAGTGATGGCGAACCTATGACACGCGTGTCAGGGGTGACACGCGAATTCATTTTTTTGGTTGATTTTTCTTTGTTAAATGGCATTTAAATATTTAAAATAAATATCAAAAATATAAATCTTTGTTTTACTATGGTTGCAAATATCAAAAAATTTGTATATGTGACACGGCACCAGAGTTAAGTTAGGGTTTTTCAAAATGCTGACACACCGAGCTCAAAAGGTTCGCCATCACTGAACTAGGAGGTCATGGTTTGATTCCTGTCAGGGCACATGCCCAGGTTATGGGCTCCATCCCCAGTGTGGGGCATGTACGAGGCAGCTGATCAATGATTCTCTATCATTATTGTTGTTTCTCTCTTTCTCTCTCTCCCTTCCTTTCTGAAATCAATAAAAGTATATTTAAAAAATGTTTTAGGATAGAACTTGTATCTTGATGCATCCATGCCCAGAAAAAAAATACAAACTTATGGCATATGTAGATGCTCAAAAAATGCTAGTTCTGCCCTGGCCGGTCTGGCTCAGTTGGTTGGAGCATCGTCCTGAGCACCCAAAGGTGGCAGCTTGAATTCCCTGTCAGGGCACATACCCAAGCTGCGGGGTCAGTCCCCAGGAGGGGCATACGTGGGGAGCAACAAATCAATGATGTTTCTCTCTCTCTCCCTTCCTGTCTCTAAAAATCAATGATGATAAAACAATTCTACATCTTCCAGACCTTCCCCTAAAAGGTTTGGAAAAAGGCCTAACATCTCATGGCATTAAGGTAAAGAAAAAAGGTAAGAATTGGCGCCATTTCTAAGAGCCAAGATGGGTTATTTGGTTGAAAACATATGGGGCTGGTTGTGTTTCAGAATTTGCTTTAGTTCTTGAGTCACCCATGTGGTGAGGCCATCCCCAGTGACTGCTGAGAGACTGGTAACGTCATTCTAGCTAAGATCTTCTTTACAAAGCCCAAGCGTGTGTTTTCTTTTCATTAGTTCTGCAGGGTTAGCCCACATCCCAGACATCCGTGGGCTCTGGCACTGGGACAATTACCTAACCCTGAGCAGGGGTAAAAAAGTAAATAAATACAAGCAATAACTGGCTTAATAGAATTTTTATATTTAAGTTTCGAAAGTGAACTTTAAATAAAAACATTGCTAAGACTAGCCAAGTGCTTCCGTGGTTATACTAGAGACCATGACCTTGTACCTGAAGGACAGGGTACCCTAAATACAGCACACACATTTGGGTGATGACTCTGTTAAAGACAAATTGTCTAACTTCCCATGCAGAAGGGAGCAATTTAAGTCAAAAACTGATTTTAAAAGGCCTGGATGGGGATAGAGGAAAATTTTAAATAATACCTCTGGGATATGACAGTAAACAGACTGTGGAAAACCCTAACACTCTAAAGGACAAATAGCCTGTTTTTGTTTTTGTTGTTTGTTTGTTTTTAACAAAAAGTAATGTAAGAAATATAAAATGAAATGAAAGGGGAACCTATATGTTAAGAGAGATATTAACCAATTGCAATGTATGAACCTTATTTAGATGCTTATTCAAAACAAACTGCTAAACATCATGATAGTTTAGGAAATGTGACTACTAACTGGTTATTTGACTTTAAGAAAATATTGTTAACAAAATGCAAGGTATTGTACAGGCAAGGGTTAAGACAGCAGACTTGAGGCCGCTACAATTACAATGATAGGTTGCCAGGTTGGCCATTGGCTGGTGTCTGGCAATGTGAATTTCTGGAGGGCCCCTGCCATTTCCGGAACTGATATGCATGGCTCGCTGTGCCTGACTGTTTGCACAGTCAATGTGGTTTATGCTGAACACCTGCTTTCTGCTGGGATTCTAGGAAATTGGCATACTCTAGGCAGAGGGTGCCTGTAATAAAAGCCCGATCACATGCTGTCGTGCTCATTGCTGGGGAAATTACTTATTCCATGTGATTCCACCAGGAAAGGACTCTGGGAAGCTTGGGCCTGGTGTCCTCTGGACTTTGCCAAAGCATCTTATTCCTTTGTTGATTTTGATTTGTATCCTTTCATTGTGATAAATGACAATATATATTGAGTCCTGTGAGTCTTCCTAGTCTATCACTGTCCTGTCAGACAAGTGATATTAGTAAATTTTTAAGAATCCTTATCTTTTCACTGTTTACATATAAAAATCATTCTTTGACATCCTCCTTCCCCAAATAATTCTAAATAGCCTCTGTTGTCTGAGCCCAAACAGACATATATATCTCATTTGGAGATATATATTAGAATGTTTAAGAATAATCGATAATATCTGGAAAATTTCCTTCAGAATAATCCAAGGGTGGGAAGAGTAGAAAGGGGTATAGATAAAATAAGACAAGTCACATATTGATGGGAAGGTTTATTATACTACTCTCTGTACCTTTTGTATGTGTTTGAAAATCTTCATAACTGGGGGGAAAAAAAAGTAAAGTCCAGCCTGGCTGGTGTTGCTCAGTGGTTGAGCATCAACCTATGAACCAGGAGGTCATGGTTCAATTCCTGGTCGCCCGGGTTGTGAGTTCGATCCCCAGTAGGGGGCATGCAGCAGGCAGCCGATTGATGATTCTTTCTCATCATTGATGTTTCTATCTCTCTCTCCCTCTCCCTTCCCCTCTTAAATCAATTTTTTAAAAGTATATATATATTTTTAAAAAGTAAAGTCCAGTTGCTTTATGTAACTTAAAAGTATCCATTCTTGTTTAGGTTTAGTCTTGTTCTGTTCAATAATTCCTTCAACATATTTCATACAAGTGAAGAAAACTAACATTCACCAAGCTGGGTACTTTTCAAGTATCATGTCTCATTTACTTATGAAAAACAGGTAAGGAAGATATTATAGATTAATTTTCAAGAAGAAGAAATTGATTGAGGCTCAGAAAGATGAAGCAAAAGGGAAGGTAACTGGTAAATGACAGAACAGGGGCTCCAAAGCAAGAAGAAAGTAAGAATGCAGATGTGAACCAACACGTGTTTGGAAGGATTGGACTCGGATCAGGCTTTGTGGGATTTGTTTCCTGGCTCTACAGTTCACTCCTGTGTGTTACTTTGTCTGTTCAAAGGGAATGATAATAGTGCTGCTTCGTAGGGTTGTAGAAAGGATTCACGTGGTAATCTATTGAAAACATCTAGTGCCTGGCCTGTAAGAGCTCCACACGGCTCAGTTACACACCCTCGTCCCCGAAACAACAAAACAACCACCACCACCACCTTGGGCTCAGACAACAGAAGCTATTTAGAATTATTTGGGGGAAGGAGATCAAAGACTGACTTTTATGTGTATACAGTGAAAATGCAGGACTCCTGAGTTCATTCGTTACTATGAACAAAGACACTGATTCGATTTTGTAGGAAATTATGAGCAGTCAAGTGCAGCAGAAAGGAAAAGAGTAAACACACACACACACACACACACACTCACACTCAAATTTAGCCTCAATAGCCCCAATTCAAGGTACCTAAATATTCCTTACTAAGTACTCCAGGTACCACTCTTGGTACTTCCATAGCACTAAGTCCTATCCCAAAAGCAGAAACTGGATTTACATACAGGAGACTGGTGTCTGGCGGAGCTGACACCACAGACAAACGGACCGCCTTGCTGGAACTTAGCTTCACATCCAACCGCTTGGAGTTGGCAACAGCTTTGGAAACGTCATACAACTCACGCTGCAGCCCTGTATATGGAAAGACATAAGGAAAGCCGCAGGCATTTTATCTGAGGCCACAAAAAGGAAATTCCTTGCAGTGAACCTATTATCATCAATACCTCCGTGCATGATCCTAACCACTGTGTATTTACATATGGATCATTATAACTACCCCCTATCTGATTTTCAAACTTAGTGCAGGATTTTCAAATTCCTATATCATGTTGCCCCTGGGGATCATGAATGTTCGTGGAGTCTTCTGAGGGAGACATTCCCTAGGCATTTGGAATGTCCTGTGGGCATTTTGATTTCTCTGACTTCTCAGACTGATCAGGGAAGAGACATGTTATGGCAGCTGGGAGTGTAAAGAGCTTAGATTTATTTGGCATGGAATTCTCCCTTCCAGCCTCATGGCGTAATGCTTGCTGCAGAAATATCCAGGTATAAACTCAGTGTTGGTGAGAGTTACCCGGAGCTTAACTCGGCCGATCCCTTGCGTTTACCATAGTGATCCTCTATGACCTGCAACTCTCTAGTCAGTACTTGTCCTGGGCACTGCTTCCCAGTAGGGCAGAAGAGTGGCCCGGTCTGTTCTGACAGCTCACAGGATGGCAGCCTCGCTTCTGCTTACTAGGCCTGACTGGCTCTGCTTCTCCAAATCCCCACCGGCTCTGTCCTTTCCCGTCGGCGTCCTGATGGATGGAGTCCTCTGGACATTGACTTTCCCGCTCCCTTCCATGTCTAATGGTTGTTTCCTCCTCTTAGTAAGCAACTTCCTCTCGACGAAGACACAACAGTTAAGTCATGTTGAACTCAGTCTGATACCTAAGCCTTGGCTCCTCCCTCAGGGAGTTCAGTCTAAGAAAAGATAAGGAAGTCTTCAAGTTCCTACTATCAACATTATAGATGCTGTGGCTGGCTAGCATCCCACATGATAACACTGAATTAGATCTGAGTAGTTCAAAATACTATCTGAGGGGAAATAAGAGGTAGTGCTAACTAAAGGTAGGGATGGTAGTTCAAACAGAATTTCTTTCTCCTGAGTTAGACTGAACCAGTTCTTTCCAAAAGTCAGATTAGCCCTGGCCTGGTAGCTCAGTTGATTTCAGCATCACCCCGATCCACCAAGGTTATGGGTTTCATCCCCAGTCAGGGCACATACAAGAATTAACCAATGAATGCATCAATAAGTGGAACAACAAATCAATGTTTCTCTTTCTCTCTCCCCCACGTCAGAAGCCACGGGTAATACCTGCACTGACTTACATGCTGAGTGAGGGGCCTTCGCCACTCCAGCTCTATTAGGTGCTATTAATTCACGTCTGTCCCCACCAAGCCTTCAGGAATAGGGGATGAGTCCATCTAGATGACTGTAACTGACTCGTGGCTATCAGCTAGGCCTTTGGGAAAAAGAATATTGGCAATTACAGGGATGTTCTCTCCGTAATGCTCGATTCAGGTGATTTGAAGATAGTAGGCCTATAGCACCAGTATCCACCCAATTACAGCCATGATTTCTCACACCAAGGAAGAGGTATGCTCATTTCCACACTAAATTAATACTGGGGAGGACATTTTTCTGAATTGACTAGACAGTTAGTAAAAGCATGTCTCCCTTCTAACCAGCGTATCGGGTAAATTTGTAAAGGCAAGGGATGATTAGAACGTCCTCCATAAGGTCTCTCTGAGCATTTGCAAATGGGTTTCATACAACATCCACCTCCTTAGATTATGAATATGCGTTGGTCATTGTTCATAGATGGACACAAGGAAAACTCGTGAAAGGGCGTCAGCTGTATGTGACTGAAAAAAATGACCAGACTTCACATTTCTAACATGGGAATTCCTGCCTTCAATGTCAAAGGCTTAAGGAACTCATTTCACTGGAACGGTTACAAACAGTAACTTCATCGCCTGTATTAACCCCCAAACATTATGAAAAATTGAAACAGTAAGTGATACCCTGAAGCATAAACTGTCCATCCAAACTATCAGAAATTTTTAACCTGCTTCTTCTACCTTGGCCTACAGTCTTCCAGTAGCACTGGTGGTCACACAATTATATCCTGGGAGTTCACATATGTTCTTTCCTTATAAAGTCATTTCAGGATATACTAGGCAGGTTAGCAGATTAGCCCTTTCTAGAATTACTAGTATTATGCCCAGATTTCAAGATCCCCAAAGACAGTCCACCAGGGAGCCGTGTCCGATGCAAAAGCAAAGAGCCTTTATTCAAGCCCGGGCTTGGCTCCTCTACCCTCCTTACAGATGCAGCGGCAGGATGCGAGAGAGAGAGAGAGAGAGAGAGAGAGAGAGAGAGAGAGAGCCCCCAGAGAACAAAGGTTATATAGGGCTAGTCATTTGGGTGGGCTTAGGTGAGTGACGTGGGTAACAGTGATTGGTTAGTTTCAGGTCAGGGTTTTATTCCAGGGTTTTTCAGCAGGATCTTACAGCAGGGACTTACAGCACAATGGGCAGGAAGTGACTAACACATTCCTAGGCCTAAACCATACCCCGCTACCTCCTGATTGGTCAAGGGCGGCGCATAAGGAGCATTCTATGGTATAGCCTAATGTGGACCTTAGCTGTATTCCTGGAACTTCACTGGTCCACTCGGGTGGTGGCTGGGGGAGTCAGGACATTTCTGGCATTTCTGTGGTCACTCCCAGTAGGGCAGTCCCACTTTGTCCTTTCATTAGTATTTGCTTCAGAAAGAAGAAAAGCTTACCTGTTGGCTTAGATTGAAATTAGAGTTATTTTAAAAGGCTGTAACAGCAAAGGGTTCAGAGTAATAAGGAAAAATATGCTGATACTCCCTGATATCCCTGTTACATAACAGTAAAAAAAATCACTTAAACGCAGCCCATTTAAATGGCCTCTACCTACCCCCAAAGCCAAGCCTCATTAGGAGTACCAGTAAAAATAAGTTTTCTTATAAAACTGCAATACATGAATTGTAAAATATATAAAATGCATAGACATGTGTTTGTGCATATATGTGTATATATAGCATAAATGTGAAATACGCATATCTGTCTATCTGATATATGCGACTAAAAGGATTTAACAATGACCTAGTGTCTTGCCCTTGACCTCACCTTGTATGTGGAAAACCTGGTCCCAGTTGATAACGTCACGTTCTTCCAGCAGCCGTCGGTAAGCTCTCACATCCTTGTAGAACACAGCATAGCCGTTTGTGTAATGGTCCAGGTTATCTGTCTCAGCCTGGGTCAGAAGACACATCATAAATACGCATCCTCTATCAGCGGTCGCCAACTGGTGGTCCACGGACTACTGGTGGTCCGTGAGGTCTGAAAGGTTGGCCACCACTTGTTTAAGGAAACCTTTGGGCTAGCTCACTGAAATCTTAGGTGGCGCGGGTACCGTTAGCTGTGCGTGGCTAGGTAATTTCCATTAGCAAAGTCAGTCACCAGTAAACAGTGGCTATGTGGGAATGTGGCGAATACCCTGTAGTGAGGGAAGGCACAGACACTCAGAGCCTTTGTTTGACTATCTCTTCTAGCATCAGGGAGGTTTTACATTTATTTCACGTAGTTCCAGGATTTGTAATTTATTTGTGAAAATAGAAAGGGTGTAACTCCAGGGACCCGCCGATCAGAATTAAATAGAACTCTCAGAACTGTCCTAATGTGGTCACGGCAGCACATCTTTGGTGACTTGAGCCTCTCTTTGGTCCCAGAGGCAGAAGGGGGCAGACACTGTCTTTTTCAGTGTTCTTCCATATTCACACGCATGACCACAAGTCCCCATCATCATACGGAATCATCAACCCAGCAAAAACACTGGTGTGTGCAATATGCATGCTTTCTGCTTCTAGAGATTATGAATGAAACACTAAAGGCATAGTTTATTGAACGCGTTTAGGCTAGAGGTTTTCCATACGTCCGATACTCGAAAGACAGTCAAATTAGCAGCCAAGGATGAAATGTGTAGCTTTGTAAGCTAAAGTATTTGGCTGTGATGATTATAATATCCCCTTTACCTAATCTGTTCTTTCTAGTTGATGCCAACTCTTATTGTTTTGCCTTGCAACACTGTACCTCTTTCTGCCGCCGAGTGATGACAGCTTTGAAGTCTGGCCATGAGTCCAATACCACTTCCTTTTGAAAGGGGTTCCCGCGATTTATGTTCATCACTGCTCCATAAACCTGAGCCAGAGGACCCAGAGAGACAGGTCAACGGCATCACCGGCTGTTTCAGTTGCATATTACCCTTTTCACCTCTGGTTTTACCATAGAATTATGGCCCTCAAAGCAGATATTATAAATATACACACAACATACATACATACATATACACTTCCCCGTTGTTATTTCATCAGCGCACATGAAAACTGCTAAAAAGTCTATGAAAGCTTAAGAAAACTCTCCCTGGACTTAGTGCTTCGCAGTACAACCAGGAGAGGTACTAAATCAATAGGCTTACTAGGTGGGTGCTAGGCACATAGGTTAGCAATAAAGATTATTGAATGAATCAGAATCTATGGATTTAGGGCTCATACATCTTTTAGAAGTTCCACAGGTAATTTTGATGCTCACTGCTTTTGGGGTGTATTATACTATCTAAAAATAACCTGTGAAGTGCAACTACTCCTTCCACCCTGAGTTACAATTCAACATCACAAGATAGTGAAATACACCCCCCCCAAATAAGCCCAAAACACATCCCTGTATATCAGATTTGATGGAGCAAGGCTCTGCAAGTATTCCCTGAGGACTGCAACGATGTCTCATTCATTATGACATCTATGGAGCCTGACACAGCTGATCAAATGCTTTTTAAAAAAATATATATATTTTATTGATTTCAGAGAGGAAGGGAGAGGGAGAGAAAGATAGAAACATCAATGATGAGAGAGAATCATTGATTGGCTGCCTCCTGCATGCCCTCTATTGGGGATGGAGCCTGTAACCCAGGCATGTGCCCCGACCTGAAATCGAACCGTGATCTTCTGGTTCATAGGCTCGATTTGATGCTCAACCACTGAGCCCCACTAGCCACGCTCAAATGCTTTTTTTTTTTAAAATGTATTTTTATTGATTTCAGAGAGGGAGAGAAAGAAACATCAATGATGGGAGAGAATCATTGACTGGCTGCCTCCTGCACGCCCCCTACTGGTCTGCTGATCTTACATATACTACAGAGTAATAAGTTTATCAAAATGGTTTCCCCTATTGGGGATTGAGCCCGCAACCTGGGCATGTGCCCCTGGCCAGAATCCAACCCGGGTCCCCTCAGTCTGCAGGCCAACGCTCTATCCACTGAGCCAAACTGGCTAGGACTCACATGCTTTTTGACTAAACAATACTGAATAATAATATTGGAATTCTCTGTGGCCTTTCACATTTTTTTCTCCACTAAAAATCAAAGATGTCTGTCCTACAAAACAACTCTCATATGTTCTGTGTGCTTCTAGAGTAGAAAAAGTGTGGTGGTAAAGATACTTCCTCTGTGATCCAATGTATATTAAAAAACATGCAAAACTAAATGATGGCTTTAGAAGTCAGGACAGTGGTTACTTTGGGGGAGCAGGGAAAGGTAGGATTGGAGAGGAGCACTGATGGTGGGAGGGGCAGCCTCTCAAATCATGTTTTTTCTTGGAGTGGAGGTTATTCAGGTAATCGCTTTGTGAATTCACTGAGCTGTGTAAGTATGTACAGTATGTGCACTTTTTTTTTTTTTAAATCCTCACCCAAGGATATTTTTCCCAAGAGAGTGGAAGGGAGGAAGGAAGAGAGGGAGAGAGAGACATCAGCGTGTCTCTCACATAGATTGGTTGCCTTCCGCACCCACCCCGACCGGGGCTAGAGATCAAACCTGCAACCCAAGTACATGTCCTTGACCAGGAATCAAACCCACGGCCCTTGGTGTGCAGTCAATGCTCTAACCACTTAGCAACACCAGCTAGATGACCAAGAAAACCACTGAAAATACTCCAGAAATAAAGCTTTTGAAATAAACAGGAAAGGAATTTATAACAACCCCTAAACTTCAGTTCCACTGTGTACCTAGTACACATTCTTACCAGTAATGCCAACCAGTCCATACCCACTTGCCATTTAAAAACATTTAGAACTCAAATTTACCTTAAAAACAATCTAGTCCAGCATGACTTAAATTTTCCTGGGAGTCATCTAAAGTGACTGTCAGGAATATAATTATCTGGGTCATACCCACAACCATTGACTCCGTCTCTAGCAAGTGGGGAGCGGGAGCTGTGTATTTAACAAGAGCCCCAGAGTCTTATCACTGGAAACTTTGGGAAACAGCCACCAGTTGGACATTATTTCCACAGATCAAGACAATAGAGCAATACAACAAAACTCAACGGCACAGTACCTTGAGTGATTCGGGAAAGTGACCCTTCAGCACTTTTTCCAGGGTCAGTAATTTGGTAGCACAGTTTAGCACCAGCATCTTCTCCAGAGCTCCAGCAGCTCCACACCTAGTAGAAACGTGAAGGTATACATTTCACTTTTGCCTGTTAGCAATGAATCCACCTAGGAGCATCCTGGAAACCCTGTTTTCCCTGGCTGTGATTCTGAATACCATTGCTCCCCCTGAAGAGGGAAGGAGGAGGTGAGGGAGGCCCTGGGATGGGTAAATCAGAGAACACCTAGAAATGGAAAGTGTTAATGACCTGATTCTGGAAAGATGTATCTCCATGGGTAAAGTCTTCATCATTTACACATGCATAGAACTCTGCACGCCTCCTTCAGGATACAATAGCAGTTGTAAATTTACATGTATGTGTGTTTCTTTTGATTGAAGTCTTTCTCAAGTAGACTGTGAGATACAGGAAGGAAGGGTCCAGGTCTGCTTTGGGCTGCACCGTCTCCCCAGCACCTACCACGGGGCCCGGCACATAGTAAGGGACATTCCAAGGAGTTGTTGAATGGCTGATGTGAAGCTCAGGGTAAGACTCTTCACAATGGGGTACAAAGACCCGAGGGGCTCAGCTATCAGGTGGTTGTGAGGAACAATTTGGAGAGGAACAGCTAGATTGCAGATGAAGAATCCTGTGTGAGCAAAGGCTCCTTTCAGTCAGATAAAATTAAGGAACAATAACAACCAGAAAAGCCTATAAATAATGTATACAGCTTCACCCATTCTGATGCAATTATATTTTCTAGATTTGGAGGCTCCAATCTCCTGTTCTTATGCCCCAAGAAAACTTTTCCCTCAACATTACAGTCAGGTCTTGACTAGATTAAAAATATAGCATATATTTATATTTTATATTCAACTAGAGGCCCAATGCATGAAATTTGTGCAAAGGGCTTGGCCCTTGCAGCCCTGGCTTTGCCCGGAAGGTTGTCTGGAAGGTCGTCTGGATGGTCGTTCCGCTGTTCGGCTGTCGGGTCTCATTAGCATATTACACTTTTATTATTATAGATGTAGCAGAACTTTTGCACCTCATCTTCACAGCCAGGCACTCGGAAGGCAAAGAAAGCTCAGGAGACTTGGGAACCAGGTCTTCTGGGATTGTGGTGGATTATTCCTTCGCAACACATTTCCCACGGGGCATCTCTGTGTGGCCATAAGGTACTCGGAGTGTTCGATGGTGATTTACTTCAGTCCACTGTATAAAACCCTGTCATGTTGTTTACGAGACTCTGAGCTGCGAAGAGGCATGTTTCTGATGACTGAGCTGGCTCCAGGTCAGTGAGTGGGCACGTGACGTGTTTGCATTCTCTGTCGGAGTCCGAAGAGAACGAAGGGTCAAGGCAGCATCAGATAATAGTCTGGGCCATATTAGAAACTTTGAAAAAAATCAAGTTTCCAGAGTTCAGGTTGAACAAAGAAAGAAGTGTAGCCACTATCTCCTCACCCTTGTATCTGCTCACTTTTTCACTCCCTTGTGTCACCTCTAAATAAAACTTTAACTTCTTCATTAAACACATTAATATATTTTAATTCCAGGCCTTTTGGGAGAAAATGAAATATCACTTCACAGGGAAGTTGATCATGTATCTCTTATTAGGTTTGATGTATAGAGATCCTTTTATATCCCAATATACAGCACAGTAGCTAGAGCAAAGAGGAGGAATCCTAAGCTTACTCTTTGCCTGGTTTGTTCCCCAAAGGATCTAAAACAGTGGTTCTCAACCTTCTGGCCCTTTAAATACAGTTCCTTATGTTGTGACCCAACCATAAAATTATTACTTTTTTAAAAAATATATATTTTATTGATTTTTTACAGAGAGGAAGGGAGAGGGATAGAGAGTTAGAAACATCGATGAGAGAGAAACATCCACCAGCTGCCTCCTGCACACCCACTACTGAGGATGTGCACGCAACCTAGGTACATGCCCTTGACTGGAATCGAACCTGCGACCTTTCAGTCCGCAGGCTGACACTCTATCCACTGAGCCAAACCGGTTAGGGCACATAAAATTATTTTCGTTGCTACTTCATAACTGTAATATTGCTAATCTTATGAATCATAATGTAAATATCTGATATGCAGGATGGCCTTAGGCGACCCCTGTGAAAGGGTCGTTCGACCGCAAAGGGATTGTGACCCACAGGTTGAGAACCGCTGATCTAAAACCACTTATAAGCATCGGTAAAATATAAAATAAAATTCAGGCAAGGGAGAAAACAGAGGTACCAAAGTAACATGAATGCCAAGCTGGTGTTGTTTAGTGTCTGAGCATCCACCCATTAACCGAGAGGTCACTGGTTCAATTCCCAGTCAGGGCACATGCCTGGGTTGGGGGTTAGAGCCCCAGTATGTGGCATGCAGGAGGCAGCCGACCGATAATGTTTCTCATCGGTGTTTCTCTCTATCCTTTTCCCTTCCTCTCTCTCTAAAAATCAATGAAAACATATTCAAGCCCTAGCCAGTTTGGCTCAGTGGATAGAGCATCGGTCTACGGACTGAAAGGTCCCTGGTTTGATTCCAGTCAGGGGTACATGCCTGGGTTGCGGGCTCAACCCCAGTGGGGGATGTGCAGGAAACAGCCAATCAGTGATCCTTTCTCATCATTGATCTTTCTATCTCTCTCTCCCTCTCCCTTCCTCTCTGAAATCAATAAAAATATATTTTAAAAAACATATTAAAAATAAAGTAACATGGAGTCAGTCAAGAGAGAGGTCAGCAGGCAAAGCATATGGAGAATGAGCCTTACACGTAGAGTTGATCCTTTTTATATGTGGATTCCGTGTTTGTAAATTCACCTGCTTGCTCATGTATGTGTATCCCCCACATCAATACTGACAGTGCTTTTGCAGTCAATTGTGCAGAGCAGTAACACATTTGAGTCACCTAATAACCCACATTTTCAGGTAAAGTTGAAGAAGGTGACTTTTTGTTCCAGCTCTCATGCTGTAAAAAAGTCTTTTATGTGTCTATTGAGTGCCAGTGTTTACTTTTCTTTGCCTTTTTTTTGCTTTTTTGTTGGTGATTTTACTGTTTAAAATGGCCCCTGTGCCCTGACCAGTGTGACTCAGTTGGTTGGAACGTCATCCCCGTGCACTAAAGGGTCATGGGCTGGATTGCTGGTCAGGACACATGCCCAAGTTGTGGGTTTGATTCCTGGTCAGGATGCCTTATGGGAGGCCACCAATATATGTTTCTTTCTCACATTCATGTTTCTCTCTCTTCCCCCCCCTCACCCTTCCTCTCTCTCTAAAATCAATTTTTAAAAATGAAAAACATAAAACAAAATGGACCCCAAGTATAGTGCTGAAGTGCTGGTTAGTGTGCCTAAGTGCAAAAAGGCTATAATGTGTCTTATGGAGAAAATACGTGTATTAGAGAAGCTTCCTTCAGGCCTGAGTGATAATGCTCCTGACTGTGAGTTCAATGATAATGAATCAACAATCTATATTAAATCACATGCCTTTAAACAGAAATATACATAAAACAAGGTTACCTGTTGATCTGCTGATGTGGACGTTGGGACCAGAGGTTTGTAGGAACCTAATAACTGTCTGTATTTTCCCTAGGACCATTGGTTCAAAATTCGCCAAGACAGTATTTTGCCTTTGACTTTATTGAACTCAAGGACTGTGGAGAATGAGAAATAACTACTTGCAGGAGGTGAAAGCCCATTTTATTTTTTTTTAATTTTTATTTTTTTTATTTATTTTTATTTTTATTTTTTACAAACCCTGTGTCGAGGGCTGACTTTCAATAGATCGCAGCGAGGGAGCTGCTCTGCTACGTACGAAACCCCGACCCAGAAGCAGGTCGTCTACGAATGGTTTAGTGCCAGGTTCCCCACGAACATGCATTGCGTGAAGGGCGTGGGGGTGGCCCTCTTTCCGGCCGCACCCCGTTTCCCAGGACGAAGGGCTCTCCGCACCGACCCCGGTCCCGACGTGCGGCGGGGGCGCACCGGCCGGCCCGCCGGCGGGGATGACGGGGGACCGGCTATCCGAGGCCAACCAAGGCTCCCGCGGCGCTGCCGTATGGTTCCGCCTGGGCGGGATTCTGACTTAGAGGCGTTCAGTCATAATCCCACAGATGGTAGCTTCGCCCCATTGGCTCCTCAGCCAAGCACATACACCAAATGTCTGAACCTGCGGTTGAAAGCCCATTTTCTTACTCTAAACTTTCTGGCGGCCAATACCAAGAGAAAGAAAGATGGGTCGTTACATGATTCACTTTCCCATAGAATTATCCTTCTGGTCTTTACCACAGCATTTGCTTGACTGTTCACTTGTGCCGTCTCTAAATGAGGTCCAGCTCTCTAGCTCCTAAATATTCAAAACCCTTCTTGATCTGTCTTTAGTCTACTTTTCTAGACTAAGCAGCTATTTCAACTCACAAACAAATGGTTCAGGATGACATTAAAATCAGGGACATTTCTCCCAGGGGTTCACACAGAAAGAAGATACTATAATTAATGAACAACATTAGAAAATATCCTTTCAGTAAACAGTGATGAACTTCATAAGAATATTTATTTTATTAAATGAAAAGATAGTTTTTTAAAAATTAAATTTTTTTTTGTTAATCCTCATCCGAGGATATTTTTTCCATTGATTTTTAGAGAGAGTGAAGGGGGGGGGGGGAGAAAGAGAGGGATAAAGATCGATGTGAGAGAGACTTCAACCAGTCGCCTCCCCACCCCGACTGGGGGCCAGGGATCAAACGTGTAACCCAGGCACATGCCCTTGACCAGGAATTGAACCCCAGACCCTTCTGTGTGTGGGCTGATACTCCAATCACTGAGCAACACTGGCCAGGGCTAAAGAGATAGCTTTTAAAGGCCACAAGAACATACAGAAATTCTCATAGGTGCAGAAATTTTTTTTTTACACATTATTGGATTATATCCGAAAGTCATAGTGACAACTATTACCTCTGAAAGCTACAAGATCAGGCTATCATATCCTCACCACTCAATTATAAAAGTCTCCATAATTAATATGGGGCCCAGAATTGGAAGGTAAATGTTTGTAAA